GCTCGTCCGAGGAAAGAATCTGGCTGTCCGGGCGGCCTGCCCAGCGAGTGCCTCCCTCCGACGGCACGGCCGGCCCCGCCCGCTCCCTGCCTGGTTCGCTTCCTCTCCGTTTCTTCCCCCTTTTCCTTTTCCCTCCCTTTCATCTCTCCAGGCTCCCAGCTGAACCCTGCACCGCTCAGCTCCAGCCCACGGCCAGCACCCCCCGAGCAGCCAGCGCGAGTGTCCGTGGGGCTGGGACCCCAGAGAGACAGCCACCCCGAACGAGCCCCTCAAGGCCCCGGTCCAGGACCTGCGCCTTGACAAAGGCAGACACGCTTCCCTGGGATCCCAGGCTCACAGCGAAGCCTCCTGCCCTGTCCCCTTCCCTGGGACTGGGGCACTGCCTCTCATCGCCCAGGCACCAGCCCCAGGCCTTCACTCCATCCCCTGCCCAGGGGCGGGGGGGGGGGGGGTTCCTCCCGCAGCAGCTGCTCCCATACCCTTCTGCTGGCTGACTCTTTTCCAACCAATCAGCTGGCTTCACCTGGCCCGTGGCTTAGCTCAAACACACTAGATCCCTTTCTTCCCTCTGCTCTGCTCAAGTTCTTCTCTCTACATAGAAGACCTCCCCCTTTCCCGACCCCAAGCAATCCAGCGAGCTCCTATATACTCGTCAAAGCCCATTTCAAATGATCCTACACTTGGGGTCATGTAACTCCCCTCAGTCAGGTAAGTCCATGCTCCATCCCTCATGGCCTCAGATCTGACTATAAGAAGTCCGTTCAGCAGAGCAGAAGGGACTTGTCCTGGGTGTGGCCTCTGACATCGAAGCTCCGGGTGGTAGGCAGTGTACCACGAGGTCTACACCCACCTAGCACAGCACAGAGTGGGTGCTCACCCCTCGCCTCTCCTGCCTCACGGGCCAGGCACAGTCCCACTCGTCCGTCAAATCCTGGTGCGGACGCCACGTCCCCTGAAGTCCTCCCTGGAAGAGGGACCCATGTCCCTCCTGGGAGGCCGGTGGGCCAGCACTGGCCCCGCCTCCAGGGCTGCATGGAGGCACCCGGCACGGCGCACGTGGCGGGCTTCCAGGACGCCTTCCAGCCACGCTGTGCGGAGTCACCCCTGCCCAGCCCTGCCGTGACCCTCTGACCCACTCACCAAGCCAGTGGAAGCTCACAGGCACTCAGCTCTCAAAGGATGGACGCCTGGCCCACCCCTCCAAGTTCGAGGCCAAGAAGACCCCAAGGACCCTCCGCCCCGAGGGCTGCGCAGGGCACTTCCTCTGGGTTGTTTATGGCCTGCAGGGTCTGCAGGAAATGCCTGGCCGCAGCCCAGGGCAGGCCCAGCCGGCAGACGGACGGGCTTTTCCCGTGGCCCACGGCTCCCCGAACAGAGAGGAAGGCGGCCGTCCGGCAGGGCGGCCAGGCCCAGGAAGGGCTGAGACGGACGGCACTCCCCAGGGTGGGTCCTTCCCCTGGTGCGGGCGGGGCAGCCCACGGGGTGGGCGGAGGGGACGGCCGGGCCCGCTTTCTGAGATGCCACCTCTGTGCTGCGTCCAGCCTCTCTGTGACCAGGGCAGCTCTGGTGCGGACGCTTGCAGACCGGCCTGCCCTTCCTCCTTGTCCCCTCTGCTCAGCGGGGTGGGAGCAGCGGGGACTCGGCTGATGGCGCGGGCGTGCTCCAGGCGGAAGCAACTCCCATGAAAGGTCACATTCAGAAAACTCGTCCCTAAAACCATGCTGCCCCCAGGAAGCATCCAGGACCTGGGTCAGCGGGAGGCGGGCGCCCACTCACCCCTCGTGCAGTCACCACCCAGCGCAGACACAGCGTCCTGTAGGCGAGGCCGACCCTCCCGCCCGCGTCCACGGCCACCGTGCGCCGGACTCCCCGAAGGAACAGCGTCTCCCTCCCAGTCACTCACGGGTGCTCACGCCTTAAAAACAACACAGACTTTCACCCGGAACCTTCTGGACGCTGGATGCCGAGAACGTAAGGGTGAGTGAGGCGCAGACGGAGGACAGTTTGGAAGTTAAAGGGGGGAGAGACGGAAACCCCACGCAGGCCCCTGCCTCCTGCAGGCTCGTCCCCGCCAGCCCGCCCTCCCAGTGCCCCTGAGAACAGAAGGGCCGTCGGGGACAGCCTGCCACCCCTCTACCCCGACAGGCAGGGCTGGGCGCCCCTACCGACCCACTGCACAGCGCAGCCACACCGGTGGTGACGTGAGACCATGACACGCGGCAGGGGTGGGGGGCAGCAACCATGGGGCGGGGGGCCCAATCCCTGGGAACCCCACCCCTTCCCCAAGGAGCGGGAGTAACCCTCCCGCCTGTTAGCATATGACGTTACAGGGGCACCTCGGGGCTCATCTCAGTTTTCTGGACGACCCCGTGCTCCGGGGCCACCTCCGGCCCCTCCAGACGGCCTGCACTCTGTGGGCTGCGTCCCTCTGAATAAATCTACCCTCACTCCACTGCTCTTGAATTCTTTCCTGCACGGAGCCAGGGACCCTCACACGATGGGGTGTGTCCCAGGGGCACGTGGCCGTGCCCCACCGCATGTTCCCACAACCCCAGCCCCAAGTAAACCTCTCCCCGCACCGCTGACCGGCGTCCGGCTCTGTTTCTCCCTGACCTCGTCGGCTGGCTGGCTGGGGGACAACCCGGCACGTCTGGATTACGCCAAGCCGGCACCCGGTTCAGTCCGATGTGGGAACACACACTAGCCAGAAGTCAGAACCCAGCTGAGACCATAACACCATAACCAGGCAAACTGGGAACAGCCACGGAGCCCCGAGTCAGGTCAGCTGCTCGAACCACCCGCAACTCCCCCAAGTGCAGCCCCGTCCTCCCCTCTTTCCAGAAACCACTGCGGCCCGAGCACTCCGCCCCTGCCTGGCACTGCTCCGCACACGGCAGCCGGACCAGCATGTCTCCGGTGGACCCAGTCGTGGCGGCGTGGCACCCACTGACTCAGCCCAAACCCACTAACTGGGTTCCAGCGAGTGCCCGCCGTGGGGGACGGGGGACGGGGCTGTGTGGAGACGGAGACGCCATCCCTTTGCTTCTGAGTTACTGAAACAGAAGAACACGCACGAGGCTACACACAGCAGCGCGGGCACCTCTCCGCCGTCCTTGCATTCAACGTTCAGAGGCGCCAACACAGCACACGCTTCTCCACTCCCTCCACGCACTCACGCCTGCTAAGGAGCTGGCCTCTGCGTGTGCACACTGGGCCACACGGGAAACTTCGCAGGGCAGGCGGCCCTTCTGTTAAACGACCCGGGATCTGGGTTCCTCAGGAGGGAGGGCAGTGGAGCGGCCATCGTCCCCAGGACAAGAAGTGGCATTAAACACACAGTCAGCCTCCCACCTGCCAAAAGGTGCACCTGAGGGACCCCCTCCCCGCTTCCCGGGGCAGAAAGTAGCGGCATGGAGAACCCACAATGCCCGAGGAGAGCGATTTTTAAATGGGAACACGGCTTGAGCCGCAGCCCCTCCACCGCCCGACTCTGGACTCTCCAGGCAAGCGGCGTCCACCAGGGAGGAGGAGCTGAGTCAGCAGCACGCGTCAACGCTCCCTCCGTGGGGCGGGCACAGGGGCGTGGAAGGTAGGGAGGGAGCAGACCCACCCCTGTGCTGGGGGACCCAGGATGGGGACCACACCCAGGACCTAGGAGCCAGGACGGGGCCCTGGAGGCGGGCAGAGTCCGACGCCCCTGCAGACCCCAGTTCACCCCTACACCCCTCCACCCAAGGGCCAGCGCCGCCCTCGCCGTCCAGGCTGCTGCGGTGCGACCCAGGCACGTGGCGGTGCTCCTGTGTGAGAGGACGCCCAGGGTGGAAGAGAGCGGGGTCTTACCCTGAGCTCCTCTGTACAGGATGGTGCCGCCCATCGGGGGCCCCGGGGGGCTGAACGGAGGGTAACGGGGGGTCGTCACTGTGGAAGAAAGCAGAGTGAGGCGCCGTCCATCCCTGAGTCCTCCTGAGGGGCCATCGCACAGGCGGCCAGCTCTGCTCCCTCCTTACCGTACGGCGTCTCCGGAGACACGGGGAACGCAGGTGTTGGGGGCAGGGTCTCACTGCCACTGCCGTTGGGCGAGAAGACCCTGCCGTCGACCCCGTCCAGGTCCCGGGGGTACGCGGGGATCGCCGTCTGGAAATGGCACGGGGTGGGGGTCAGGTGAGCCAGCCCTGGTCTGAGCGTGGGCCCAGGAGGCCGGGGTGGAAACCCAGAAGTGCAGTGGCCGTAAAGGCGGGGGAGCGTCGGGTGCTCCGGCCGGTGACGGCCACGCGGTGAGTGGAGCGGTGGGGAGTCTGTGCGGGGGGTGAGCGCCCGGGAAACAAAGCAGGTAAGTGACCTTCGCCCGCAGCGTGTCCCCAGGCACGTACGCACGCGGCGCACTGAACCCGCAGCTCAGGGAAGAGGCTGCCTGGACCCGTCTCCGCTACGGGCCCTGGCTCGGTGGCTGGGTTAACATTAACGGTGACGTTCTCCTCCCTGTCTGCTCTGGGCCCCAGCGCTCCCGCCGGGACAGCACGTGAAACCTGACTTGAAAGGGTTCCTGGTCTGGGGGCTTGCCGACCAGTCTTTCTTCGATTCTGATTAAAAGCCTGAACCACGCCTCCCGGAAGATGCTCCGATGGTCTCCCCGGGGGGTGCGGGGGCGGGCGTCCCACGTCCACACTGACCCACACGCTCGCCCTGCCTCCCTCCCGGGGACCCCAAGGGGCCTTGGGTGGGGGCTTGGGCCTCCCTGCGGGGACCTGGAGGAAGTCTGTCTGCGGCTGGCGGCTGCTGTCCGCCTGCGGAGTTCCGGGCCCTCATCCCTCCCACAGGTCAGAACACAGAGATCCGGTGACCGGAGCGAGGAGCACGCTCAGGGCCCGCTCGGGACAGCGACCGGCACCCGGGCTCTGCACCCACACCCTGCCTCGGGCCAGGCCCCGGGCGCGCCGTGGCTACCTCCTTGGCGCTGGCCGGAGAGAGCAAGGGCGCCAGGCTTGGGGCCTGTTCCGCACTGGAGGGCTTCCCCCAGCCGCACTTGGACGTGGAGAAGGCCGGGGGCCCCCTGGCGTCATTGTCATACTGCCCGACGCTCAGCTTCCGGAACCTTCCGCTCGGGGGCTCGTCACCTGCAGGGAGAGAAACATGTGGGCTGCAGCCGCGTTCCGCGCGGGGGAGACCGCCAGCCCTTCGCTGCGACCGACTTTAAACCTCTCAGAGACACTCGATTCATTTTTTTTTTTTTCTATTTCCAGGGCACCTTCCTCGCCCGACAGGAAACCCCAGCCCCCTCCCGCGGCCCCAGCAACCACTAACCCACCTTCCACCTCGACGGGTTTGCCTTTCTGGACGCTTCATGGACAGGGAACCCCGGGGCTCCGGCCGCTCTCCCCCAGTTACCATGACCGGTTACCACCCACTGTCGGTCTCTCCCAACGCCAGTTCCACCAGGACCTGTGTCCAGCGGGCTCCCCAGAACCGAGAGCCGGCCCGGCACCCAGCAGGGGCTCAGGAAGTACGGGGTGGGGGAACCCGGGGCCCTGGACCGAGCCCGCTTCCCGCCCCCCGGAGTCAGCAAGAGGGACTCTCTGTGGTGGTCGAGCTTGGAAGGGCCCCGGCGGCCGCAGGCACGGGGACTCACAGTCTGAGACCCCTGCCCGAGCTCAGCACCCCATCCTGCGGCACCTGCGGTCACCACTGAGGCCAGAGGGCCTGCGTGTCGCTTCAGGACCACCACGGAGGGAACAGCCGCTTAGACCAGACACAGACGTCTTTTTCTTGGGTCACGAACGTGTACACGTTTCCTACACGGTCTGTCGCCTTCTTTACATGTTGTCCTGCGTCTTTTAAAATCATTTTACCCCTTTTTGTTTTCACAGAGAGGGCGTGGGGGGGTGCGGGGCCCCGGAGGGAGGCTGGCCCCCACCCCGGCACAGACAGGGCCCGGGCGCCATCGCCGGGCCAGGACAGGTGCACGGTGGGGGCCCAGTGCCTTTGGAGGGTGGATCGGGGTGGAAACGCCCGTGGGTGTCAGTCAGTGATGGGCAGGAGGACCCTGCGAGCCTGGCCACCCCAGGAGGGGACGACTGACGCCCCCCAAGGCTGTCGGGTCACAGCACACGAAGCACGTCACCCAGGGAGACACCCAAAGGCGCTGCTCTGAAATGGTGCGCAGCGGGGCGGCCCTTGACCTGCCTCCTGCGGCCCGTCAGAGCCGAGAAACGCAGACGCCTTCCCGGAAGGGACGGGGGGACCAGGAGACGGCCTCTGTCCAACAGGCAGGGCAGAAACGGTGTCCTGTGGACATGGCCCGCTGCGGCCACGCCAGCGCGCTGGGGGCAGGGTGTGGGTGCTCCCCAGGGGTCTGCTGCTGGCCTGCGGAGGACAACCTGCACCCCGACCTCCACGTGATGTGACCTCAGCCCTGTCCAGCGTGCGGTCCTGTGTGTGAGACCAGCCTCAAGGATGCACTCAAAGGCACCGCTGTGAAAACACGTCCGGGTGGGACCAGGGCCCACGAGGAAACACACAGAGCCGAGCAGGCAGACTCAGAGAAGCCGTCCGTCCCCGCAGCTGGTGCGGAGCTGCTGGTGGCCCCGCTCCTGGGCTTCCTCCAGGCCCTGGAAACATCCGCTGGGAGGCAGGACACACCTCCACAGCCAGGCGGTGCCGTGGGCACGTCAGTGATTAAGCACACGTGTGGCCGCATCACCGTGCCGCACACCAGAAACTGACACGGAGTTGTAAACTGACTGCACTTCAATAAAAAACGTAATAAACCCAAAAATACAACAAAAAAGGAATGATCTACGTGGACCATGGAGCGGGGGGACCCCTGGCTGAGATCAGGGACCCGTCCTTCTGCACACGTGCCAGCGCGGCCGCGGATGCCCCCTCCACCTCTCACGTCCTTCACCCCTCGTGAACTTCGGGTAACGACATCTGCGTCCTCCCAGCTTTGGAACCGCCCCCAGCAGGCAGAAGCGCCCCGTCCCCGGGCAGCGGCCAGGCTCCAAGTGGCCAGGACACAGACGAACACAGACAGGCTCCCGGCGACGCTCAGGCCGCCTGGCTGCGCACGGGAATCACATTCGCGGTCTGGACCCTCGGGCCGACCCTGCCCTGTGAAGTCACAGCCTGCGGAGCGACGCCAGGAGACCGGCATCTTTGTAAAATTCCCCAACGTTTCGAAACACACAAACCAGCGGGAGGACCAGGGCCCGTCTCCAGCATGGAGTCACACACAGGGGAGTGTTTCAAATCACTCTGACGCCCAAGCAAGATCCAGGCCAATTCACCCTGACTTCCGGGGGGAAGCCCGCGGGCACGTGCAAAGCTCCTGCGCGAGACACGCTCCCAGGTGGCAGTGCCGAGCGGGTGGACGCACGACCTCCGCCTCCACCTGGGCGGCGGCTGCCAGGGGCAGCACCTTCGCAAGGGGGCCTGCCCGCGGGTTCTGGAAACTCCCTTGCATTCCTGGGAGCAAAATCCACCACCAGGGATGCACGCAGACGGCCTGCCCCCGAGTTAGCTCCAGGCTCCCCATTCAGATAAACGGGCTTCCTCTGCAGAGCGAGTGTCAACGGGAAAAGGGCAGAGCGACAAGGAGACGCCCAAACGCGCTTCCAGACCGATTCAAGGGGCTCTGCTCTCCCTGACGCGGAAACACAGACGGACTCCCCCACAGGGCGTGTTCCCGGGGAGCGGGGACATCGGTCAGTTAGTCCCCATCCGACCCCAGGGCCTGAGGGGACGTGGGAACCAGGCCAGCGGGCTCCGCAGAGCTGTGCCCAGAGGCCCGGGGAGGGCAGCTGCCTTGAGGACTTGGCACTGGAAGTCCTCCGCACCGGGAAACGCGGAAGAGCTGGGCAGGCGGGAGCCTCTCCTCTAAAGACGGCTTTTAATGGAAATGATCACGTCCAGAAGGCTAGGAGGCGCACCCTCGCGCTGTGAGGAGCGCAGGAGACCGTGTCCTGCGCAGGCGCGCCTGTGACTCGCGGCACAGACCCCACGGGACTGCTGCCCTCTGGGCGCCAGCGGCAGAGGCTGGCGCCTACTTTCCGCTCCTTTCTGCTTCTTTGAGTCTCTTCCTTTTCTCTCATTACCTGCCTGCTCCGCCCCCGCCCCGGAGCCCTGGATCTCACCGGCCGCCTCCGCAAACACTTGAGGAAGCGTGATGTCTCCACCACACACCTCAGGACGGTCACAAGGACTGTCCACTTGCGGGGCCTCCTTCCACAGAAGGTGAGCCAGGAAGGTGCAGCCCCAGGCACGCACGGCTGACGGCGGTGAGGAGGAACGGCACAGGACTTCGGGTCCCGGCCATCTTCCCATCATCTCCTCCCCGTCCTGACCCGGGGGCTCACCGCCACCCGCCCCGGGATGAGGCAAATTCCACGTCTCGCCCACGAAGGCACATCGTGCATCGGGGGTCACGTCCGTGCAGACCAGCTCGTGTCCACCACGCCGAGACAGAGCTTCCAGAAACACGCCCCCCACACCGGACGCCCGGGGTCTCCAAAGAGGGCTTGCCAGCACCTGAGGGGGCAGCTCCTCAGCACGTCAACGACAGAGCCGCCGGGGGAGGGGGTTAAAGCTCAGGGGTAGAGCGTGCGCTTAGCAGGCACGGGGTCCTGGTTCAATCCCCAGCACCCCCATTAAAAAGAAAAAAGAACTGCTAAAAAAAAAGGAAAGAAAGAATTGCCACGTGGCCCAGCAGCCCCACTCCTGTGTGCGCCCCAGGGAACTGAGAAGAGGTGATGGAACGAACACTTGCCCACGAACGTTCACACGGCCCTGCTCACAAGCGCTGGAGGTCCCCACCCACGGACGGAGCACAGCGCGGTGCAGCCGTGCAGAGGAACGCCACTCAGCCCTGAGCACAGCGGGGATGAGCCTGACAAACGTTAGTTATGCCTGCACTGACGCGAAACACCCCGAAGAGGCCGATCCACGGAGACAGAAGGCAGACCGGGGGCGGCGGGGTCTGGGGGAGCGTGGAGCGGGGCCGACTGCAGTGGCCGCAGACTCCTCCTGAAATGACAGAAGTGTCCTGGAACCAGACAGTGGGGACAGCTACGCAACACAGAAGGCACGTGACGTCACGATACTGTGCACTTGAAAGCGGTGAAAACGGTCACTTTTATGTCACGTGTGTTTTTCCGCAGTGAGAACGTGAGCGTGGTCCGCAGATCTCTGACGGCTGCGTGTGTGAGCAGCTTACAGGAGCCACGACCTTGGTTTCGCGATGGTGAGGATGGCGCCAGGAGACAGAAGTTCTAAAAGCAAGACCGCGGGCCCGGGAGGGTTCAGAACCGGAGCTGCAGGCCAGCCCAGCGTCCAGGGACGTGGGGACACGCCCGTCAAGGTGACCTCGGGGGCCCCGAAACCCCTGCGTGTGGAGCGAGGGTCGTCGGGGGCACAAGGAACTGAGTCACACCCCAAATTCAAAGGGCGCTTCTGCACAGAAACAGAAAACAGCTCCAACAAGAGCTATCCTACTTCCCACCATGAAGGATGTTCCCACCCGGAGCGCGGAGCTTCCGCGTGCCTGCGGGCGCCCGACCCGCGGCCCCTGCTCACGGTCCTGAAGCATCGGTCTGAAGCCGCGGGGGGCGCCCGGCGTCCTGACCCCAGGCGGGAGTGTCTTTTTAGATCTCACGGCACAAGCACACCCCACCCGCCCCTTCATCTCAGGCGACGAAAGCTCAGCTGGAGAAAGTCCAGTTTCGTCTGCGGCCGTGAGCAGAGGGAAGAGTCCTTCACAGGAACACATCCGATCCCCTGGCCCTGGTCGCTGGCCCTCGGCCCGCAACCTCCCCCATCCTGGGTCCCTGGTGGGCCTGGCAGGATCAGCCCCCCCGTATTCCCGGGGCCCCCTGCTCTGCAGGAGCAGCCCCGTCTGCAGCTAGTCACCTGGTCTTGGAAGGGTGAGGAGGACAGGCCCGAGGGTGGAGAGGTGAAGCCGGAGCCCTCCCTCTTGGCCCCACACGTCCCCAGACCTCGGGCTCTGCCCCTGAGCCGGGACCCTCTTCCCGGACATGCCTGGGAACACACACAGGGTGGCCACGCAGGAAGCGCCCCAGGCCGGGTCTCAGCCTGAGTCACCCACCCTCTGCGACCTGGCGCTTCCTGTCTGAACGGACAGGACAGCCCATCCCTGGGCGCGTCTACCCGGAGGAGCCAGGAGCGCCCCGCACACGGCGCCTCCTTGGTTCTGTGCAGCCCAGCTCCTCTGTCCCGCGCCTGGGCAGGCACGAGGCTGCTCCCCAGAGCCGCAGAGGCGGCGCGGTCTTGCGGCATCTGGCTGGGGTCCCCAGCAGGCGTGGGACCTGCTGCTGTGGGGTCGGCCTGAGATACCCTTTCTGAGATGCCTGCAGAGTCTGTGTCCCCGGGGAAAGGAGGTGACCCTGAGGGCAGCCGTTCCGTCTCCTGACCGGGTCAGGGGCCTGTCCGGGCACCTGGCCCCCCAGCCCTGGGACACCCGTGCACTCCCCACACCCTGGCTCTCCCCGAGTCTGCACAGCCCGGGGCAGCCGTCCTCCAGGAAAGCCCATGCTTCCTGCTCCCCAGTGCCCCCGGCTCTCCACCCCGCCCACCCGGGGCTCGTGCGCGCCGCCTCCCCGCCACACGCCCCCGGAGACCCACACGGTGGGAACCCACGGCTGAGGTCCTCGCTTTCCACACTGGATCCCTGTGGCGGGGCACGTGCAGCTTTACATAATTTAAACTGATGGGCTCCCACCGTCAGCGGCTGAAGTCGGTACTTGTCACCGCTCTGAACTGCCTGCAGCATAAATCAGTCCTCAGACACGGGCAAGACACCTGTGTCTGCAGCAGCCCTCGAAGGCAGCACTGGCCGTGACGTCCCAGCGTGTCTGTAGGCAGAACGCGGGGCTGCCGGGGCCCTGCGACTGTGGGAGGTGTTTGATGTAACAGAAACACGGTATTTGGACAACAGGAGGCAAGTTGCCCTTAGGTATGCAGGAAACGGACGGCTGCCTGCCACCCATCCTCAACTGTCACAGACTTCTTCTGTTTCTTGGGTATCATCCGTTGAAATCTCCCCCCACGTAGAGGATGTGATGGAAGAAACCCCTGTGGGCAGGGCGGCAGAGCAGCGGGGAGACCTGGGGCATGGGGCGGCACTGGGTCCCAGGGTGCCCAGACCAGAGCCGGGGAGCCACGGGGGCGCTGTGAGATGCCCCCACATCTCAGCCCATTTACAAGCTCCTCCGAGGCTCTCTGAGACCAGACCCCACCTCTGCAGGGCCTCTCCCTTGTCCTGTAGGGGAGACTGGCTTCCTGACCTGTCCCATGATGAACCTCGCTGAGGTCCCCTCGCCAACTCAGTGGAGCCACAGGGGACCCGGGAGAGTACTCTGCATTTCCGCCAGCACCGCACCCTCTATTCACAACATCAGCACGTGCCAGGAAACAAAATGAATACATCACTGGCACTGCCCTTGAGGGGTTATCCGGCTGGTGGCAAAATATGAGACTGTGGAATAAGGACACAGCCACGGGATGCAGAGTCAGACACACAGAAGCTCAGTTTACACATCATGGTGAGTGTGAAGGCCAGGGTGACGCAGACAAGCTTCAGTGTAGTGCCTGGGGCAGTGCAGGTGCTCAGAGCGGCAGGGCTTACCAGCACATTCACCACTAGCATCCTCATCACCACCATCTCCATCACCACCATCATCACCACCATCATCGTCTTGACCATCATCGCCATCATCATCTCCACCATCACCATCATGATCACCACCATCATCATCACCATCATCATCGCCATCAGCACTACCATCACCATCGTCTTGACCATCATCACCATCAGCTCCACCATCACCACCATCACCACCATCATTACCACCATCACCATCACCTCAGGGCATGACCTGTATGATCCTTACTAACTTCATGACACTGGGGTCTCTGTGACGACCCCTCGTCTACAGCCAGAATGAAGACACGTATGGCAGTCGGCACCTGGGGTCAAGATGCCAGGCAGGCCAGGGAGGGTCTCATGCAGAAGAGCCAGCGTCTTGGAACTTTCCAGCCTATTTCCCATCTGTAAGCAAGACTGGAGGTGGCTCTGATCAGACACTATCCCGTCCCAAGAGGGCTGAGCCTCGGGCACACAGACATGGAACGACACCTCTGGGGGTGACAGCCACCGTCCTCGGCGTGTCACGGCGTGTCACGGGGCCTTTCAGACTCGCTGCGCCCTCCAACTCAGTAAGATTGGACTGAGAGCCACGTGTGGACCGGCTCAACTGCACAGCCCTGGCTCCCCGATCTGGGGGAAGGAAACCTGCTGGGGGCTGCAGTGCCTTCAAAGCACAGGTTTCCAGCACCCCCAAGCCTTCTGCAATGTTCCACACCTCAGGGTCAGCTCTACAGTTGTATGACTTCCCTTGCATCAGTGACTTTCTTTCTCTCCCTGGCTGACCTAGCTTTCTGCACCTGAGAGATGTAAACGCCGACATTTAAGTATTAAAATCAAATGGGTAAACAATGAGGTCCTGCTGCACGGCGCAAAGAACTATACTCTATACCTTGTAACGACGTATAACGGTAAAGAACATGAAAAGAAATATTTATCCGTATACATGAATCACTATTCTGCACACCAGAAATTAACGCAGCATTGCTTAAAAAAAATTGTTCTTGATTTAAAAATTTTAAAAAATCTCTCTGTACCTGTCAGGGAGGGAAGGAAGCTCTCCTGCCCCTCAGTTCTAAAGACCGAGACCTACAGACATGTGCACTCTTGGCGGGACCTCTATCAAGACAAGATGTCCCGGAAGGAGAACCAGAAGTCAGCGTGCAGGCTGTTCTGAGAGCCCCCTGCACTGTCCACGAGCTGCATCAGGCGCCGGGTGAGTCCCAAGGCGCTGCACCTCCCAGCTTGGCACCGCCTTCACACAGGAGCTCACTGTGGGTGGAACGCCGGCTCTGGGGTGGGAGGCCAGTCCCTGAGCTCTTACCAGAAGCTCACCTCCAAACTTCAGGAAGGTCTCTGAGGATGAGCATCCAATTTGCTCGCCTCTACTCCCCAGACACCACCAGACCTCTAAAAGCACAGGGGAAAAAAACCCAACGCATGCCCGAGATTCCTACCAGGCGAGAAACGGATTAAAAACACTCCAATTGGATCTGCATAATTAATAACCAAACATGCTGAGTGTTACGGATCTGTTGACGTATTCAAGTCCTTCCATTTCAAAAATGACACTGAATTATTTTTATGATAAAAGGAACTGGAGAAGATCTAAAAATTCCAGTAATTCCAGTAGTGAGTTTATCAAGTCACTGAAGCATGGCCACCTGGAAGGGGAGGAGATGGGGACCAGGAAGGGGAGATGAGGACGTGGGAAGGGAGGAGATGAGGACCTGGAAGGGGAGATGAGGACCTAGAAGGGGAGGAGATGAGGACATGGGAAGGGAGGAGATGAGAGGACCTGGAAGGGGAGGAGATGAGGACCTGGAAGGGGAGGAGATGAGGGACTTGGAAGGGGAAGAGATGAGGAACCTGGAAGGGGAGGAGATGAGGACCTGGAAGGGGAGGAGATGAGAACCTGGAAGGGGAAGAGATGAGGACCTGGAAGGGGAGGAGATGAGAACCTGGAAGGGGAGG